TATTGAAGTTTTTTTTTTCTTTTAAAATACAGCATATATTTTCATTAAGTAGTATGGAAAATGTTTTACGAATGGAACTGGTCACGAAAGAAAAATGATATTTTTTTCTTATCACAAGATGAAAATAAATCCCATATTAATAGAAAAAACTTGGATTCTCTGTCCATTATATATGAAATTAATCCAGCAAGACACAAGTGACAGTACGTAAAATAAGTTTCACTGCAGTGAAACAAAAAAACAATGAAAAAACGGAAAATATAAATGCATTTTTTTCATCAACATTTTCCATAGAAATATTTCATTTATACAAAATAAAATATTATTCTATTTATCATATAGAAAAAAGAACAGTTGACATTTTGCTTGACGACCCATATTGTAACGTTAACATTACCGCACTTTTTACCCTAATTTTGTATGTATATCTTATAAACCAAATGACGTCACGTCCCATAACTTTATAGAGAATACATGGCTGATGTCGGATTAGAGAAGGTTTATCCGAAAGCGAGAAAGTGTTTGTTGGTTAGCTTTATCTAATTACTTTCGCAGCGAACCGGATAAAACTTCTACATTCCGATAGCAACCAAATACAATTTTTCCTACTTTTGTTCTAGTTGAATCATGCTTTTAGATTATTTTAGCGGTTTCATTCTTACGTTTTCCCGAATAAAAAGCGTCTACATGTATTTTTTCTTTGCCGCTATGTGACGTCATCCTAGCCTAAAATGTGATGATATAGACAGTAGCAGGATAAATTACACTCCTGTCCCTTAGTTAATGTGATTTGTTTTTGTTATGTATATGTTTTAAATAATGCCAAATTTGGTATGCTTTGAATGGTATAAGGTAACAAAATGACTATTTTCATATTTCTAATATAAGAGCACAAATGGCAGAATCTACATCATTGTCTGTTTTTATAAATTTGTTACGTAGTATGTACGTAGACAGATATGAAAGACTAAAAACAACTGAAACACATATCGCATACTTTTGGTTCACATATATATGCAAAGTGTTTCAATATTTTTTACCCGTTTTTCTATTTCTTTAGTTATTATTCGCCTACAGCAAATAATATATTTTTTAGAGATTAAGACATAAATTATAATGTTTTTGTTTTTGTGTGTGTTTTTAAATTCATTTAAAGCATGTAAATTTCACTTTTAAATGTATCTCCTGTGTTTTAGTTCCCCGGAGTATACGGTACACATGTTGAGCTTTTAGGATGGTTGTATGTCCGTCATACATGGCTTACAATTATTTCCAATGGCGTCACTTCGAAAACTACTTGTTGAAATATAATAAGCTTTTTCTAGGATTAAATCTTTAACACTTGATAAAATGGGTATATCCATTTTATATCTATCCCAGATTGTAAAAGAGTAATTTTTGAAGCTACACAAGATAAACTTACTGAAGAGTATAGAGCTGAGATTTTTGATTGCATATGCTTAGAGTGACTGCCCTGTACTTTTTCATATTTAATTTCGTCCGAAGCTTGTCTAGTGCTATTTACAAAGGGTCGAAGTAAAGAACTTAAACCTTCATAGATATATTAATCTCAATCATGAACTACAGTGTATATATAACATACTCACTTATACTCACACATTTTGTTAGGATAAAATCCCTTGTAATTTGTATTGCTTAATTTTTGTTGACAGACATTGTTGCAATGCTCCTATTTTATATTAAATGAATTATTGTTCATTGTAAATTTTCATTTTTTACTTTTTTGCCGGGACGCAACTCATACACAGTTAAAGGTATCTGCAGGAAACTTCTTTGGAAGATATATTTTATTGAGGTTTATGCAGTATCCAAATAACCCTAATTCTTTGTTGTTTAACTTTGTAATCATCGTCATCTGTAAATACTTTATACAATATTGTTTTGTCTAGAACATAAGATTATGTCGATATGATGTATAAAAATAAAACTTCTTTTTATTCTTTTGACAAAACAGTATACTGGGCACTTGGACAGAGGCGTGTCTAGTTTGTTATCGTAAAACTATTTGAAAAATTAATGTGTTCATGATATAATGGTTTTATAATTAAATGTTTGCTGGTGTTTTTTTTCGTTTGCAAAAGCTAATAAATGGATGTTTATGACCATTTTTTTATTTATACCTTACTTACGTGTATCTAATGAATATTGAAAATACATAGAAATAGGTTTGACTTTTCTATTTCAAGTATTTGAAAATATTAGAATGTTGTATGTGATGCAAATTTTCGTATTGTTGTTACAATGATTATACTGTCAGTACTGAGTTTATCAATTTATGATATGCCTACAGCATATTATAATTATTCATGAATTAATGTTTAGTATTTATATAACATCATAGTCCTTATTTATAAATAAAATTGTGAAACAACATCAAATTTTAGTTATCATTTATATCTGTGTTATTGTGTATATAAGTTTGTTTTTGTATCCAGTCATCCCGTGTTCGAGTCCTTCTTGGGAAATAATCATTATGTGGTACCAGTGCTAGTTAATCAAGGAAGTAGATTAGACATACAATTGAACTTGTACTTGAGCTCTCAAGATATAAGGGTTGCCTGGGCCGTATTTATCGGCATAGTCTTTTATAGCAGCATGACTCCGTGGCCGAGTGGTTAAGGTCGCTGACTTGAGATCACAGGTCCCGCACCGCTGTCTTATGTTCGATCCTCACTCGGGTCGAAATCTTTCAGTGAGGAAGCCATCCAGCTGGCTTACGGAAGGTCGGTGGTTCTACCCACGTGTCCGCTCGTGCCTGAAATAATGCCCGTAGAGGCACCTGTGGTCTTCCTCCACCAATAAAGCTGGAAAAGAAATCGACGAAAAAATCTCGGCAGGACGCTCCAGGATGGCCCGACTTGAGTGTACGGTCGCCCATATGGGTTTTCGGCGGCGACCTTAATTAATCGCATTAAAAATAGCAGCATGCCTCCATTCTATTTTCATGAAAATTTTGAAAGTGCATTTAAAAGTGAACAAAGAAAGTAAGGCATTTACAAACAACACAATTTACCAATTGTTGTTAGAAAGGTTATAATATGCATCAATAGCCCTCACTGCGTTAGTCACGAGATAATATTGCAAAATCATTCATTTATTGCATATTATGTCCATCATTACTTGAAATTTGATTTTTTTATATTTTCTTTTAATATATTTGTCTCTAAGGTGAGTTCCTTGAAAACCTTTGGCTCAACTAGAGTTTAAGTAAATTTACACATTTTCCGTTACATCATGTATTTCTTTGTTTAAACTTATGAATATGTTTTGTAAATTTTGTACATTTTACAAGTCGTACAAAAGTTTCCAACAAGGTTTTAGCAAGTTCTACCGCAAAATGTTTAAGTTTACTGGTCTGCATTTGTAACCAGTAGTCCTTGGTACCAGCCTTATTAAAGTAATTGTGTTGCGGCCTGGTCGAGTGGTCAATGCGTCTTGCTGTTTTATGGATGTCATCTAAGAATCAATACTAGCAATCAATATGCCGAATTATGCAAGCTTAAGATAATAGTTTCATACGAACAATTGACTTATTATAATGGGAGATATACAGTATAATTAGAACAGAAAACAAAACATCTGACAGCTGTATAAAAGAAACTAAATTCAATATCGAAAACAGACATGCTGACCGCATTAAAAATCTAAAATATAAGAACTTTAAACAGTAACTCAATACTAGAACCTAAACAAGCTTATTGCATTAAGAAAGTACCCAGATAAAAGAACCAAAACTAGCTTGTCGAATTTAAAAAGAACCTAGGTATATGAACCAAAACTAGATGGCCACATTATGAAATTTCCGATATGAACCACAACTAGCTGTTCTTATTAAAAAATGGCCTAAACTAAATGGCCTAATTATGAAAGTAGCAAGATAAAAGAACCAAAAAACTAGCTGGCCGCTGTATAAAATAATAAGAACTTAAGCAAATAAACTGGTCGCATTTAAACAGTAACTCAATACTAGAACATAAACACGCTTATTGCATTAAGAAAGTACCCAGATAAAATGACCAAAACTAGCTTTTCGAATTTAAAAAGAACCTATATATATAAACCAAAACTAGATGGCCACATTATAAAATTACCGATATATACCAAAACTAGCTGTTCTAATTTAAAAAGGACCTAGATATATGAACCAAAACTTAATAGCCTAATTATGATGCAGCAAGATAAAAGAACCAAAAACAGATTTAGAAAGAACCTAGATATAAGAACCAAACCAAGCTGGTAACATTACACAGTGTTCCAGACAGATACAGAATTAATACCAGTTGTAAACTGTTCTTTGCAAATAACGCTGTCGTTATTGTATTAAATAAATGCAAAATATGAATAATTACGAGTACATAGGCCTACACATTGTTTTATTTCAAAGCGCCAAGACATCTTGCACCTCGTCATAGACTCAAACACAAGAGCTCTTTATATAAAGATTACTAGTAATACAACTCAGTTGTGCTTAGCATCTTTTTAGCAAATCAAAAGTTTAACGAACAGTGAAATGTCACAAATTTACAGTAGAAGTTATATATAAAATGTAACGTGTTAGTTAGTTTTGAATTAAAATATTAATTCTGCAATCGTTCCTTGAAACTTACCTAGCGCCCTGAACTATGAACTGATTCGCTAACTCCCCTATGCCATAAAATAAGAAAACAAAAACTTACTCTGTAAGTTTAAATATCGACAGTTATAAAACAGTATACACATTATATTCTTTTTGATCGCATTGTAGAACGAATTTTCATTTTATGACGCTAATCTTATGACGTCATTCAATGATAATTAAAGTATACCGTAGTAAATACCTACGTAAATTCGAATGCTCATGGCTACTGAGTATGGCAATTTCGATTCAGAATTCTTCCTTTACAAATTATGACTGGTCGATTTGTTATGGAACCTCCCGATCAAAGACTTTGCCAGTTCTGTGATAGCAATGAAGTGAAAAATAAACAACATTTCCTATTTGTTATATATATTATATACATAATTTATTCTAGTTCGATTTTCATTTAAATTCAGAACGAATATGTAAATAATTAATGGGTTTCATTGCCTTATATCATTGCCCTAGTATGCTGGTGACACAATTGTTTATAAAAACAATTTAAGAAATATTCTGAGCGTTTATTTGATGTTATGTACAGCAAGTCAGTTACTGTATTATTTATGCGTATACTTCTGGACTTTTCCATCATTACCACGCACGTAAACATTAACTTCATTGGCGTCAGAGAGCTTCAG